ATTATTAATAATTATATAATTACTTACCACATTTGATGTATCTTCAATTAAATCAGTTGTACTAGAACATAGAGGTTCTACTTTAGGTATACATGTTAGTAATGGTTTATGTTCAAATTCTTCAATAAATTCATCATCTCCGTAATGTTCATCTTTCTGATCAGGAGATACGTTTTCGAACATTTTAATTTAAGAAGAAGGTTAAAACCTAAATAAAAATTTGAAGTCAATACATTCTGAATATAACCGTATATAAATCACACTAAACGAGCCGACATTTTATTTCCCCCGTTTCACTGCTTATCACTTCCCACCAAAACTATGTATAGTATATAGTAAAATATATATATACACACTATAATATATAATAACAAATATATTATAATACTTATATTAAACAATTGGTAACAGTTATGCTAAGGTAAATAAACTTAGAATTTGTATAAAAGTAGTCACAGGATTGTTTTATTTTATATTGACTATATTACTATTTTAGAACCATCGCAAAAATAATAATACATTTAATATACAGATTACTTACGTATATATTATAATACAGTATTTAATATTTAGTTATACACATTTGAATGAAAGTTTCGTAAAACTCGATTGTATATGAATATGTAAGATATATTATATTAATTTGAGGTTAGTTTAAGACAAAAACATCCATCAATTATAATACATAATACCAAATTTTTCTTTGTTTGTATGTAATAAAATATAATACTGCATTTAACATGGAATTTATTTATTTACATAGTTTATGTAGACATTATGTAGACACAATAATTCTATTGTGTAATTTTTCCAATTCTTCTATATGTTTGTTTCTATTTTCTTGGCTATTTAAATAATGAAATATTTAATGAAACATTGATATATGAATATTTTGACAATTTCAAATATGTATGTATTAATCTTTTTTTAAATATGTAATAATAAATAAAAGTATTTACTATTATATTTATTTATAGTATACAACACAATTCAAGATGTAAAAAATAACATAAATTATTAACATGACTTAATGTATGAAATTTTGATAATAAACTTAATTTTTTCTTTTTAATAAATTCTTATAATAATCTATATTAATAAATAATATTAATTAATAAATGTAAGCATACTTTTATTAAGCAAATTCGATAATAACCTAGATACCATAACATAACAAATTTTTCAGTTTATTAAAATTGAAATTGTTAAGTTGAAATCTTTCCAAACACAATGTAAATACAAATATAATGAAATAGATATTTTTATAAACACTGATATTGTGTATTATCATACCAAACATGACGAATACGATCAAATTGTTCAGTGCCAGGCATTACAGATTCTAATTATTTTTACTTCATTTAATTTTATTGCGCTATTTGTTAAATCTTTTACCCAAGGCACACAAAATAGTGGTTGCAAATTATATGTACATCTTGAAAAGGGATCCTTAAAACATTAGTCCGTCCCTGTTTGCGTCACATCATAAGACAACAACTCGGTGAATTCATTGAGCGAGGCCCAAATTATTTAGAAATATTAGAATTACAGCCATTTCTCAATAACAGTATTTCATAAGACATTTCAATCATACTACAGATATAAATAAACACAGTTATTCAACATATCTTTTTCACTGAACCAATAAGACAACTGACTGTCGCATCAATAGGTTGCGTTATGTTACAAATATATTTTTACAGTAAAGGTTTTTAAACTGTCAGCAATTTTAACTTTACACAAGTATATAAAGCTAGATTACTTATCTAGGCTTTAGGTTCTCTAACATAAAAATTATATCTAGCTTCTGTACTTACATTAGCTGCTGCATCGAAGTCAATGTTTCAACTGAGCTCCACACAATTTGGTATATGTTCACGAGTGTGTTTTATAGTAGAATATGTACAAAAAATAGATTTTTCCTGGCAAAACTGATGCGTATTCAAACAAGAATCACTTGAAAACTTGTTTCGAGTTGAACTGAAATCTCAGATTTTCAATAATTGAGATTTTGGGGAGAATTTTCTTGAGCGTGTCGCTATGAACGAACCCACTTCCACATGTGATTGAAACTGGCAGCCCACTTGCTCCAAGCAGACTTTAGGCTGCGCCCAACCTGTAGTTGCAGCCTCACACCCTTTCAGTGAATTGGCTACTGTACATATAATTTACAATGTAATAAAATATTTACTATAATCTTCTTGAAGATCACATGGTTGACGAAGCCAAAAAGGCCTAGTCTGTTAGGATGCAAAAAATATCATACCTATTTCGATATTGTGTCAGCCACAATTGGCTTCCTACTTTCACAAGTCACAGTATGACAATATTCTAGCGTTGTAATCAAAGTAAAAATGTCGAAAAGCAGACAATTTGTTATTTTAACTTTCACTCGGTTATTTTACATATAGAACCGTTCAGTCTAACCGAAAAGCTGTTTGTCCCTATTAACTCTACTAACCTCATAAAAGAGATCCTAAATAACGACAAAGAGGAATTAATGATAAAGGAGGTAATATGATATAATATCAGAGAATTCAATTCTGCTTGGAGTTTAAGAGAAAATCAATATATCTGCGTGGTACATACACGTAGCCTGCGACACTCGCGCTGTAGACATCCGATCTGCTGCAACGATGATCTGCTGTGCACTTGAAGCATAATTATAACATTTCTTCAAATTATAGATCATATCTGCTACATTAGAAAACCTCGTACTGAATTTGTTTAACATGGAAATTCGGTTGGCTTGAACTTTTCAATACTCAGCACAATTCAATGTAGGATATAAATCCCACTTAAGATGGATGATATTCATTACTATGGATTTATGCAGCTACTTAAACCTAACTTAATTAAAAATGTTGATCTAGTAAACCTAAGTAGTTTGTTAAAAATTTAGAAATATTACGAAATAAACATTTAACGTTATAAATATCTTGTCTAAACAGTTTATATGACCATGCCCTGTACTGATGTTAATGGCAATTTGACATAATATTTACACTATACAGTACTAAACTTAATCCAATCTGATCTACTAAGATATTTCCTGGATGGGACAATTTAAGAATTAAAACGTGTATTACATGTTTACAATACATGATAAGATAAATGCATAATGATTTATATTACAGTATTTATCAAATACATGATACTTTATATCAAATATATGATAGTTTATATCAAATAGACAATAGTTCTTGTACAAATTCTATTGCCTGAATTTCACCAATAAGGCTGGATGTCTTGAAATCTACAGACTAGTTCTATTAGTGTCTTGTCACAAGTTTATTAAATATGACAATATGTTATGAAATATTATAATAACGTGTGCTATTAACAAAAATTAAATCCCTGATTTCGTATTCGTTTTGTACTCGTCTCGTACTTCTATTAATTTTGAAGATATATGTCAAAATGTGACTGTATAAAAAGAGTTGGATTTCCAAATTACATTTATTACTGTATTACATCTGAGAGAATCTGATTCTCATGACTTCACTATCGTGTCGATTTTGTTTCTACAACAGTCATATCGTCAGAATTGCGACAAACAAGGTCATCCAAGTTGTATAACAGTAATTGCGCCGGATTTACTTAATTCTCTATAAAATTATTACAATAATGAACATTTGTTTCCGGCAGTATATATATAAAAGCATGAACACCTACTCACAGATGTCAGTATTTTCTAAGAAGAAGATGTGTGTTCTTATTACTATTTTACTACTTGTTACTTGTGATCTATCTACATCAACTGAAATTTATAATAGAGGTGTTACAGTTTGTAAATGTAAATTTAGTGACGAAATTCTATGTGATAGACTTTTTAATAAAAAGTAACATTTTGTTTAAATACTTAAATATATTTACAAAAACTTTTATCTAAAGATTTCGTTATATAAAGTAATATTTATAAATTACTTATATATCTAGTAATACATTTTAATGCACTATCTCACAACTCAAGAGAAATAATTAACTTTTCTTATTACAGAAAATAATAGATTACAAATAGGTTCCCAAAATGCTAAATTTTTTCTGGAGATACAAGATTGGCTGTTTAAGTTGAGAAACCAAATTCACGAACGATTATTTGGATTAACAACTACGTCAGCGCCTCCTTTGACAATTGAAATATTAAACTTAGATAAATTTGAATTACAAAATGCAATAAAAAATCATGGATGGCATCTATTAAATTTATGTAAATAAAGATTATTGTGTAATACTAAGTCTATAACTTTTTTATAAATTTATGAATATTAGAGTAGAAAATTAGAATAAAAATAAACAGTAGATTAATGAAGATGAAACATAAATAATCTTTTGTTATAACGTATTAACTTCAATTATTATATCATTAATATTTCCTTAGTTTAATTCATACAAATTTTTATAAATTGTAGCCATCTTATCTTTTGATCCTAATCAAGACTGGGGATTTCGTATTGGTGACTGGTATTTTATACAAAAAGGATTTAATCAAAACGAATATGAAGACAGTCCTGATGAGTTAAATTTTCAAACACCAAGTACCAGTAAGCCAAAAGACACGACTAAAATAGAGACTGAACAGACTTTTGACTTTACAAATGATCCAGAAGTTACGGAATCATCGCAAACGACTTCATCTATAACCACGCCTGTGACGCAACAAATTGATCCGCAAACAACGATAAGAAACACTGAACAGATTGATTCTTCCGAGAGCTCATCATTAACAATGAAAGGGTTGGAAGAGAGTGAAACCGATAGCGACTTTGTTCAGAAAGGGTCTGTAGAAGTTCTTATGGGATAATATAATATTTTATGTCAACACATAACAACATCTCGTAATTTCTTTAAATCCGGCATTTTTATTAAATTGGTCATTTTTATATGAAAATACACATTGATGTTATTAGAATATGTTTGTATATCATACAATGTTCTCACAATGCTTATGGATAAAATGTTATATAAACAGTGAGGTATAATAGAAAAGGGTACTAAAATGAAATGTTTCCATCGAGAAGAGTACACTTTTATTCCATAAAATTTATCATAATTATCTGGGGCAATAAATGATTATAATAATTTTTACGTCCCTGTGGAACAAATGGTGATCTTCATGATGTCTTATGGATTTACTGTAATAAAAAAAAAAAAAATATGTCAGTAAAATGTTCAATTTCAACATTAATTAACATTACACCCCATACATGCAAAAATGTTCTACTTCTACTAGAAGCATGAATCAGAATAACAATAAATACATATTACTAGTGTAGGAGATCTTCAATATAGGATTAAGTGTTCTTATTTTACTTGGTTCTCTAATGTTTTTTATCTTGCACTTATTCTTAAATAATGATAATACAACTAATATATACATAAGATCTACTTTTTAGATATTACTGAAATATAATATGTAAGATTCTGTTAGATGTCCCTAAATTTTAAGGCAGAGAGTTAATATCAACTGTGATTGTATCAAAACTAATAATTCTATAATAAACTACAGTTAAAAATAGTTAACACATGATTGGAAAATATATGGACAATTTTTAATTCTAAATTATTCTACAAGAAATTAATAAGAATGTGGGAAGAAAATTGTTACAATACACGAAATATACAGGAATCCAATTAAACTATACTACAGGAATTCAATTAAAATTCATATTACATAAAAAAGATCACAACATAGAATATATTTAACCAAATCTAGAAAGGAAGAAATAAAGAAAACATAAAAGAAAAACTAAAACTTAGAAGTTTGCATGCTGACCATATATGAGCATCTTAATTAAGTTCCCTCTTCAGGCTTGTAGTACAAATGATGACCATTTGACTACTTCCTTCCCTAGAATGTAAATAAAAAGCGTATACCACTGAATAGCATGCAAAAATTATGTGTTTCTTCTATATATAATCAAATTATATATATTATATAATATCTTATATGTACATTTTACACATATAATAGTAAAAAATTTATTATATCCAAATTAGATAACAGTTATATTATTAATTCACAAATCCAGTTTCTCAGTATCATAATAATTTATTTTCATACCATAGAAATAATACAAAAATACATTTACATAATTTGAAACTAGTTAAAAACTATTTAATCAAATCAATACAAAACAATTTCATTGTCATACTTAATGTAAAATTAAAATACTTTATATTTTACTAAAAAACTAGATATGTGTTAATATTACTATTATCTACATTTCTTTTTCATGTTTAAAAATTGTTATGTTTACGAATGTTTTTGATTATATAGATATATAAATTATCTGCCCGGTTCAAATATTATAAAACTGCGTTGAAGAGAATGAACTCATAAATCTAATTATTAGTATGTTCTTGTAAAAAATTTGCAAATTAGTCAGAAGGTATAACTGATGAAAAATGAAAATGCATGATTAAAATCTAAATAAATATAAAATTTTTTTTATTTAATTTAATACTTAATTTTTGTTTATTATATTGCTTTTCTCAATGATTGAAATTTGTAATGATAAAATTTGTCAACCAACATTTTAATAATAATAATAAGTATTAGGTTGTCCGAAAAGTGTCTTTCTTACAGATACATCTTTTACAACAATGTATCTTTATACAAACATGAAACCTAATCTGTCAAACATTGTGATCTTTATCTTGATAGAACAAAATGGATCATGCGTAATTCGATAAAATAATATAATAATATAACGAAAAAAATAATTCGAAAAAATAATATAACGAAAAATGTTGTGCATCCATTATTTCCTTATAAAACGAAAGAAACTTTTCGAATGACTTAATATATATGTAATAATCCATTGTATATTGAAGTTCAATGGAAGTATGAATAAGAAATCTATGTAAATCAATATCATTTTGCAGCTGACAGACAAAAATTAATAAAAAAAAAATATATATATGTATTTATCAGATCCTATTAAAATATTTAAATTGAAATAAAATTACAAATAAATAATATATATACAAACGTTATCATCAAATAAATATATATCAAAAAATAAATATATATCTCCAAAATATTTTATATTATCAAAAATTTTAATAAACTAATTGAAAACCTATTAATTATATTGTGAATGTAATGACATTAAGTAAGGGTCATATTTAAAAATAATAATGAATTGAAAAATAGGTACAGTATTATCTTACCTTTTTAGATGCAGCTCCTACTTTACTCTTCTTTGTACCCCTAACCTTCTTCATTCTGTTTTTACGTTCTTTTCGCTGCTTTCTTGTCTGTTTTTGTTTTTCAAATAGTCCATGCCTAGCTAACCTGTATTTAGGTTCAAATTTTTTTGCAAAGTCCAATGTATCATAGATTAGTGCAAATCCAGTTGATTTGCCACCACCAAAATTAGTTTGGAAACCAAACACAAATACTACATCTGGCATAACTTTGTACATTTTAGCTAATTTTTCACGTATTTCTGTTTTTCGTACTGATGAATGTCCTGGATGGAATACATCCACAACCTATAGAAAAAACATTGTTTTATGAGTACAAAAAGATAGATGAATACAATATTAATTGTAATAATAATAGAAATTTCTATCTTTATTAATTATTAGTTGGTGTTGAGATAATATACGCATAAATAGCATGATACACTTTCACATGTGATATGACAGCAAAAGACAAAAATCTAAGGAAATGTTACTTCAACTAAAAATAAATAATAAATATTAATATACATACCATTTGTTTTCGGCATAATAACCGATTGCTCATGAATTTTCTGGTTCTAATCGTAACAGCACCTTCCGTCTACAATAAAGAACAATAAAGAACAATAATCCAATTTCGAGGTTATGTTTTGATTTTCATTATCTTCATTACAATTATATTGTCTTACATAAAGATATTCGAAAAGATATAAAAAACATTTAATTTCATAATTTCACTTTTGTATTTAAACAAAATATTTCTATTTACATTTCATTCTTCAGTTATAGTGTTATACCATTAATGAAGATGTCACGCTATAATAATATAAATGTTAGATATTCATAGAGGTGGTATCAATGAATTATATTTGTAAAAAACCAAGTAATTATACATCACTGATAACATTTTAAGGAAATATTCCATACTTTGTTCAACGATTAATTAATAATTTTGGGATATAAAATACATACCATTTTGCTTGATTATGGTACCGCTAGCAAGAGGACTCTTACGGAAACATGCAGCGCGATCTATAATCTATCCGACGAGACATGACTCTCGAATGTTACTAGTCAGCAGCCAATGGTTATAACCACAGCAATCAAATTTTGTTTACGTTTACTGCCTCGTTTCGTTGAACAGACTATACATATTACCAAATATACCATCGCAATTATTCTATGTAACAATACAAAATTTTTCTTTTTGTATTAACTGCATAATTAAACAAAATAATTATTTAATATGTTATACAATATTGTTAAGTATTTTAGATGATATGTAATCATTAAAAATCAGAGTAATGTAACATTGTCTTTATTTAGACTTTAAATTTTATTAAAATATCGTATATTTGGATTTTTGAATTTGTATTTTACTGTAAGCAAAATTGAAAATTTTTTAATTAAAATTTTTCTTTATTTCACTGTAATTTCAAATCACATAGAAATTGTGTAATATTAATTTGTGAATTTCTTTGTTTTAACATACATAAACTAATTATTTACTACTTTATCGATGAAGTATTGGGACAAATATTCGTGAAACTCTTAAGAAGACCGTAATTGCATTTGGCGCTGACTGCAATTCTTCGACCATCTGATTGGTTCTCTTCCGTGTAACGTCCATTACTCTCCTAGGAAGTTTCGAGAACGGGTACGGTACGGGCAGTAATATTGGTGAGAGTTCTATACGCTTACAACCGTTCGTCAAATAGTATTACGTGGAGTGAGACGAGCATTAACAGCACACGAATATTTTGCACGAGTAGCTTTCTTTCTGCTAGTACAGGTAAGACTGAACACAAATAATCGTAAGGTTCAAAATATTTTAGAAAATACGTCCAAACGGACAGAATTTTCATGGTTGAATCGTGCGATCGATTATGAACTCGCGAAATTTTCTCGAGGTAGGAATTCGCATAGCGGTAACGTGTAGAGTCAATTTATGGTATAGTATGAGAATATTGTGGAATATTGTAGCGATTTTCAGAACATTTTACTGATTCGGGAATTTAAAGTGGATGTTTGAAGGTTGAATAATAGTTGTATGCTTGTTGAAGCATATTGTATATTACGAAATACTCGTCAATAAGTTTTATCATAGTACAAGTCGTGTTCGTCCATGACTCGCACTTTAACGTTGAAAAATGGTGGATGTTCCCCTATTGCCTTACTCGTTCGTGTCAATACCAAACGTGGTTGAAGTTGCAGAGTATAATCTGTCACTTAAGACGTAATAAGTTCTAATTAGATCTACAATTTCACTTGTACCGTTGAAATTGGAAGATAACGCTAATTTTTTTTTTGCTTTGGAAAATCATTATTTTGTCCTTTATTACTCTTTTGTTACTCAATTTTTTACCGGCAGTCCAAACCTCCAGTATCTGCGTATGTATATATGCATATACATGTATGCGTTAGTAGAAGGATCTAGAAAGTGTAGTGTTCTTTGTTCGCGATACGACAAACACTGCGTTAGATTGGAACGAGGTTTTAATTTTCTTTTTTATGTCAATTAATTATATTTTATCATCTTAAAATATCATGTCGTCGCCATTTTGAAACGAAACACGCACATGGATACAATTTGCTGGACTTTTCTACGAGCGTATTAATACACTTTAAAGACTTCTCTACGTTAATTATAACATTTTTATTCAGCTTTAAGTCGATTATAAAGGTCTCTCAAGTTTTAAATAATTTTTCTTTTTCATTTTATATATATACTTCTAATTATGCTATATCGATATTAAAGTTAGAAGTATTTGAAGTTCAAGGTCATTACAAGTAATTTCCATGTTTAAAACGTGTATAACGTATATAAATATCAATAATATATTTTAGTATTTTGATCTTAAGTTATCAAACTTAACAATGTCTCAAAAACAATGAAGAAATATAAAGTTCTTTTTCTTCAACCTTTTGCGTTTATCTATACTTAATGAATTTTAATGCAAATACATAACACTACATGAGTAATGAGTTCATGGTACATGTGTCAGGGACATACGTCCCTAAATTGCATAAAGATTAGTATCTCAATTTGGTGTTTGATTTTTGTTGCTGTATTTTTTTTCATTATGCATGTGTTTAATATTTTATAAATATAATTAAACAAATAATCATCTAATAAAAAAGTATAGTTTATAACTGTGTGATACTTTTACTATACTTCATAAAACTACTGTAACAGATATTAATACAAAACTGTTTTTGATGTTTAATACATTGTAACATACATGGATTTAACTATGTTTCCATATATAAATTGACATACTATATGTGTATTTACCTGCAATTTTATTTTATTATTTTAAAATAATTTTGTTCTAAAAGAAAATTTACATTTATTGTCATGGATATAACTGGTCTGCTACATAAAATTAAGTATTTAATACGAAATACGTACATCATGCATATTAATGTGAAAGGAAAATTGTACAATAATAAATTACATATTTATGTTATTCAAGTTGAGGAATGTTTTCACACTAGAATAATCAGCCTCTAATATATATATCTAAATATATTATATGTAAATAATTAGTATACATAATGAATAATAAAATCTAATATAATATATACGGTAAACGTTATAACATTAATTTTATCAAAAGTACCTACATATTCTTAATAATTGTAAGAAGAAAACGAAAAAAACCAAAACATTATTTTGATATGTTTAATAGTTCGCGTTAAAGTAAATATCGTTAAGTGATTATAAAGATATTAAATATATAAAAACGATAGATAATTAAAATGCATAATCATAATAATATTTTCTCTTTATTTGGTCTTTAGCAGGAGCAATATAATTACAATTGAAGATCGTCCAAAGGAAATAGATCAATAAAAATGGTAAAAGAAACTACGTTTTATGATGTTTTGGGTGTGAAACCTGGATGCACACAGGAAGATTTGAAAAAGGCTTACAGAAAACTTGCCTTAAAGTACCACCCTGATAAAAATCCTAATGAAGGAGAAAAAGTTCGTATTTTTAATGTAACAATGTGCTAAAGATTTTAATTAAATGTTGTAAAACAAAAGTTTGACTATTAAATTTAATTCTCATGTTACAGTTCAAACAAATCTCACAAGCGTATGAAGTATTGTCGAATCCGGAAAAGAAGAGAATTTATGATCAAGGCGGGGAACAAGCTTTAAAAGAGGGTGGTGGAGGAGGCAATGTGTTCTCTTCGCCAATGGATATCTTTGATATGTTCTTTGGTGGAGGTTTTGGTGGAAGGGGTCGTAGGAGAGAACGCAAGGGTCAAGATGTTATACATCACTTATCCGTTTCACTAGAAGAATTGTATAAAGGAACCGTACGCAAGTTAGCTTTACAGAAAAATGTCATTTGTGATAAGTGCGAAGGTACATATTATATAGTAATATTTATTAAAGATGTTTTGAACGTGTGAAATGAAATGTTGCACATTAAAATATTTTTATCAGGTATTGGTGGGAAGAAAGGTTCTGTGGAACAATGTACAACATGTCATGGTTCTGGTATGCAAGTTCAAATACAGCAACTAGGACCTGGAATGCTACAGCATCTGCAAAGTATATGTGTAGACTGTAAAGGTCAAGGAGACCGCATTAATCCACGTGATCGCTGCAAACAATGTGGCGGCAGAAAAACCATTAGAGATAGGAAGATTTTGGAAGTTCATGTTGACCCAGGTATGGTACATAACCAGAGGATTGTTTTCGCTGGAGAAGGTGATCAGGAACCAGATTACGAGCCAGGAGATATTATGATTGTTCTTGAAGAGAAAGAACACGAGATTTTCAAGTTAGTATTTTATATAATTGTTATGTTTAACATACACATCACATTTAACAGTATCGTATCATATTTGGATTATAATGCTTATTAATTATATTATTTTAGGCGTTCGCGTCACGATTTAATTATGAGGATGCAGTTGGAGCTTGTAGAAGCTCTTTGTGGGTTTCAGAAAGTAATTCGTACTTTAGACGGGCGAGATTTAGTTATAACTTCATATCCTGGATCTGTTGTAAAACATGGAGACCTAAAGTGCATTCTGAATGAGGGAATGCCGATTTACAAAGATCCTTTCACACACGGCAGGCTTATAATTCAATTTGTAGTGAATTTCCCGAAATCTACGGATCCGTCTGTCATTTCAACACTCGAACAATGTTTACCACCAAGAGAAGAGGTTATAATTCCAGAGGGAGCAGAAGATTGTTCTCTGATGGACTTGGATCCAGATCAAGAAGTGAAGCGAAGAGAACAACGACAAGCGTATGAGGAAGATGAAGGAGGTTCTTCCGGAGTTCAATGTGCCACGAATTAATTCAATTACATCAATCTCACAATAAATATGATCATTCTTTCATTTTAAACTTTTGTCCCATTCGCTCGATTCTGAATCATATGTATTAACAGAAGGACGAAAAAATGCGGACACATAACAGTTTTTCAAGACAGATGACAAAAACCTGAGAAAAATGTTTAGATAAGTGCACGACTGTGAAACTTACACCTGCGGAATCACTATTGATTCTGGTATAAAGATCACATACACAAATACTGAATTGTATAGGAGACCTTTAAACGGTGTTGATGGTACATTTATTATCACTTTTGAATTAAACTATAAATTCTGGTGAAAGCTGGTAAACTGGTTACAAATTACTTCATCGCTTGCTGTAGAAAAGTATTTAAAGAAATGTACTTATCAGTAAGCAGAGTGATAAGGAAAATTGAATTTATTCAACATCTAATGTGACGTCGTGTAACGTTAATAACGAAAGCAAAACATAATCAAGTCCATCGTATAACGCTGAACGTTCTGATTACTTTCTGCTATTTGTGAATATCTTTCTGTTCTGTTCTGTTCTCGACTTTCATCGATACGCGCATACTGCGAATGCGAGAAGTAAAGTTAGACAGTCGAACAAAATTAGTAATCTTACCTGTATTCGTATATTCCTTGAAGTTCTTTAAATTATTAGTATTTTATTACAATACAAGCTTCTGGAATTTAAATCGATGTCTACATTAGTAATATGACGATCGTGAAAATAGTATGAAATATCGATGAACACATTTATTATAACAGAAATAAAATGTAATCTTGATCTATAGACTTCAAAATTACTTTTTTTTTCAGTGGTACATTATTCCATTACATGTAGGTAGTGTTTAATATTTGTTTATAGTCTCATATAGTGACATATGACGATATTAAAAAAAAATCTTGTTTATTCAAAATACAATTGGTGGAAAAAATGTGGTTCCTGTGTGTGTATAACTGGACTTATACCTGCGCGTATTCATTATCTGTTGTAATAAAAAATAAGATTTGTGCGTTCTAGTATTTATTTATAACCATAATACTGGAACTGAAAGTAAAAAGTATAATTTCAGTAAATGCATTCAGTAACGTTATAAAAAAGTTGCTCTTTCTAATATCATAATATATTTCGTTAAAATTGAATAATGCGCGTAAACAACTGTCCATTTTAATGATCGTACGGCTGCATTAAATTAAACACGCCTTCAATCTTCACATAATTTACTGTATACTAGGTCATGTACTCGCCCGCAATTACTATAGCGAATTAAAATAGACGCGTATTATAATCTTATTTATTATAGATAAATTGGTGATTGATTAGTACGATTTTCAATCGTGTCAAATAAATTGGAAAAAGTATAATGTCAAATATGTCAAAACAAAGAAAGGTGTTTAAAATTCGACCTCTGATCCCTCATGTGCATGTTATATTTCAATTTTCTTCACAATCAACACATACATATGTATGTGTATATATACATATACTTTTAAGAAAATTATTTTCCTAAATTTTCAGTTTTAGTTTAGTTTAGTTAAGTGTCGGCACTTACGAAAGATTTATTATGCACGTATAAATTTAAACGGAATACGCATGCGAGTATATTAAATAGTGGCATTAGTAGGAGTAACAATGTTAACGTGCCTTTGAGTTACGTAGAATAGCCTAACGATGGCGATATAATCGCGGCGAGGGTCGATGTTTTTGTAACGTGCGTATACGAGTGCCCGAAAGCCAGACGTCGGAGATGCCGCAAAGGTTTCTGGGTATGCGGAGGGAGCCATATTTTTCCAATATCAGTTACGCGAAAACAGCGTACGCATAAGATCTGCAAAATGGAATTTCGTTCGATGGTTGGTGTCGAAGAAGTGTTTCACGAAAGAAAGTGATTACGAGATAGAGAACGAGGGATCAGTGCGAGAAAGCGAAGTAACTGTGCTAGTCAGAATATAATAAGCGTGCGTTTCCACGCGATCAAGAAGTGAGGTTCGGTGAAAACGATGAGCGCGGCCCGCGCAGGTGTTCGAGTCGAGAAGAGGGTTAGTTAACTTAACCCGAGTTCGTAACCGCGACTGGTGGTAGTGGTGGTAGTACTAGTGGTGGTGGTGGAGGCAGTGGTGGTGGTGGTGGTGGTGCTACTGCTGCTGTGACGATGACACAGCGTCATAACACGACGTACGTCCGTCCGTGCGATTTAACGCGAATTGTTACGGCAATATAAAGTGTTTTTTGTACCGAGAGTGCATTCGCGCCATTACCGATCGAGTGAGTCGTGGCTCGGTCACTATTAACCTTTACGTATTCAGTGTCGAAGAAAATGGCTTTCTTCTTTAGTGTGTGAACGAAGATTCAGAGTAGCGTATTTTTTTTTAGTGACAGTGGCTCGTAATGACATAATCGAATAATATTTCGTTATTTCTCGGTTGAGAAGTGCGTACATGTGAAACGGAGTAATCAGAATTGCGACCGCGAATAACGCGACGGGACCGTGGCAATGACACAACGACCTCAACGACCTGACTTTCTTACATAGTTCAATTTTTCTTGTTTAGAAGTGTGGCATTCTTTTTCACCAAAGTTTACTTAAACGTTACTCGTTGGCATCTGCAACGTTGACAAAAGTCTCTGACTCGTAACGTCGTTTTTTCGGTGTAACCTAGTACACGCGTTACAAATAACAGTGTGTTGAAGAGTCTAGGTTAGTTGAATGCTTGGCCCCATTGTGTTGTTTCGACGCGACTGAATCGGTGAACGAGACAAATGAGAGAGCCGTCGCTTTGTAAATCGACCTTGTAAATGACAGCAGAAGCGTAATTTCCTAATAAACAATGTTATCCGCTTGCTCTACATCGAACCGGTATAGGGAATGACAATTTCAAAGGAATTGTTTTCTTCCCACTGCAGATGTCATAGGATTTATTTAACGAAACACGATTTACTTATCCATTGTAAGTAATTATTCGATTTTGAGTTGTTCTTTCGTAAAAGAAATCTATTGACCCGCATAAGCATACAATCGAAAGAAAGTGAAATAACGTTCTTATTATCGGAGCAATCAAGTTTTCAAAACAAAAACATATTAACTAAATGGAAGATGTCGACTCGTCTTATTATTTTCTTGTAACATGTGATCGTCGGATAAGGAGAATAACACTGACGTAATTTTACTGTGATCTCCGACGCATTAAAATCACGAACAACCAACGAAACCAGTATCATGGTAGAGTGCACCGATCGTAAGAGAGAGGTTAGACGGACATTGACCGGTGAATAGCGCGTGTCTGTGATCCGACGGATGCTCTCCAATTTCAAAATCTTGGCACCGTTAATACGAGTCTGTAATTAGAAACAAGGAAAGTGTTTGTGAACGTGCATGTGATTTAAAAATTGGCGAAGAAATTAAGAATCGAGCGAACGAAGAACAATCGGTGAAACTATCCATTTGGTATGCCGTGCGCGGTAAAGCCAAGGATGTCGAAGAACGAGAACGTGGATGACAGGTGTGAGATTGTAATGATCGGTGAGCGTGCGTGGCCAAGAGGAACGACCGAAAGAACGCGGTGGATTTCGGTGGTGGGAAACGCGTGATCATTCCCGTTTATGGAGGATGCAGCAGAACCTGGAGGTGTCTCCACGTAGGCGTGCTACCTGCGTTCCAGTGATGTCGGTGTCGGGGTTACTTGCAGCGCTGCTGGACCTGGACCATGGCCGGCAAGCCTGAGCAGCCGTCCACGCACCCTGCTCTCCCGAATCACGGTCATCATCATCATCATAATCGACAACAGCAGCAACAACAGCAACAACAGCAGCAGCAGCAGCAGCAACCACAGCAGCAACAGCAAGAGCAACAGCATCCGCAGCACGCACAGGGGATTCAACAAAATAGCGTTCTAGTCTACGTATCGGGGGAGAATTTTGCGTACGCGACGGCGGTCGGTCAGAATGCCGCCGCCGCTGCTG